CCCCAAAACCCCAAAACCCCAAAACCCCTAAATTGCTAAAAGACATTTTAGTTGAATGCTTTAAAATATAAATTGACTAGGATTATAAATAATTTCAATATTCAAGAGTTAAACTAAGATTGTCAACAATTGCACTTTAAAGTGTGAATATCTTGACCTCAGCATAGTTAAGTGTTACTTGGAGTTTATTATCACTTGTAATCACTACACAATCAGTGGGCCAAAGGATATTACAAACCTTGGCACCAGCTTTGAATGGGTGATAAGTAATCAGTCTTGTTTGAATTCCAGTATCATCATTACTTAAAGCAACAAGTACATCCCCTCTGGAGAAAGCGTAGAACTTATCATCTATCCATCTTTCAACATGTGGTTTCATCCATATCTAGAACTGCTTTCTGAGAGCGTTGAGTTTTCCAATATACTTATAAAGATCAGTGGTGGTATTAAATTTGCTAATCCATAATGGCTCTCTGCAGAAAGGATCATTTTCTCCAGAAAAAGCTTGCTCAGTTCCATAATATAATATAGGGATTCCAGGTGAGAGGAAGTTAAATGCCAATGCAGCCTTAAGCAAGGTTTAAGAGTGTGAAACACTTAGGAACCTAGCAGTATCGTGGTTGTCGATAAAGTTTCCTAGAGCATATGGATCATTGATCAGCTTTTATTCGGTATCAACCAATGTTTTAAGTCCATACATGCTGTACTTGAAGTTGAAGACATCCCTTAATACATAGTACAAAGGATAGTTTAGAGTAGAATCCAAACCTGAATTAGCATACTAAGCGATAAAGCTAACTTAACCGTTAGATGCTTCTCCAATGGAGAATATACCTGCAGCTTAGGCATATTCCTTCCAGAACTGATTCTTTACGTGAGGAACAGTGTCTACTCTGATACCATCGAAGTTAAACTTTGATACAGCCCATTTTACCCATTAAAGCAGTTGAGACCTAACCCATGGATTATCTTAGTTAAGGTCTGGAAGATTTGCCATTCTACAATACTCAACTTCTTAAGGATTGTCCCAGTGAGATATTTCGCACTTATCATGATAATGTGAGGCATCATTGAAAGGATAGACCTAGTCAAATGCCATGTCAATTTGAGCCACATGGTTAGCAACCACATCTAGCATCACCCACATTCCTTTTGAATGAGCTGTGTTGACCAATGATTACAAGCTGTGATCATCCCCAAAGTGAGGATTAGACTTGTACCAGTTAAGAGCAGCATAGCCATGATAATTGTCTCCGTTATTTTCTGGAATAGGAGATATCCAAATAGCATCAAAGCCCATTCCTTTTATGTAATCAAGTTTAGATTCGATTCCTTTCCATGTTCCTCCACAGTATTTTCTAAGATTGTCACAAGAGCCTGCTGAGCCATCATCTGTTTAGAATCTATCAGTAAGAAGCTAATAGATAGATCTTGATTTCCATTCTTCTTTTGAATGTTGAATGGAAGTGGAAGCAAGAAGCATAAAAATTGCCAAAGATATACCTGTTTTCATCCTATTCAGTTATAGTTAATCTTTTATTATTGATAAGGCAATCCAGTGAAGTACTTATATTACGTAATTTATAATAATTTAGATATAATATAAATCTTTATACTAATTAAAAATTTATAAATCCTCTATATTTCATGAAATTAGATTCGAGGGGTTTTGGGGTTTTGGGG